GGGGGGAGGGGGGGGGGGGGGGGGGGGTGGTGGTGCATGCAGAATGGTGAAGTCCTATAGGATTGGTTGAAACCTCACATGTTTTTAGGAATATGATGGCATCCCACATAATTTTAGGCATTAGAAAAGGGTAAATTCTTGATGGTAGGGTTTGTTACTGATAACAATCTTACAAATTTTAGTTATCGAGATAGGTCATAGAATAGTGTTCATGAAAAATTTAAATATTTATAAATCTGAGGAGATTTTTGAGCTTAGCATCATGAAAAATTAATAAAAGGATTTATGGTGATAAGAGTAATCAAAATTGTCAATATTTTACTTTTTTAGCACGTGGAAGCTCATCTTAGTGTTTGATGACGACAAAGATCTTTGTGTATAACCTAACTCTAGAAAAGGCAAATTTGATTTTACCCAAGACGCAATGGCATGTGATTTTGTGAGAATCATGTGAAGTAATGTGTACTGCACCTACACAAGCAATATATTCACTTCCGAATAAAATTCCCTTCTTTTGTGAAAAGAGAAGAAAGGAACCACAAGCAAATGAACTACTTAGTTTTCAAGTGTGTGTTTTACTACAAATTAAATGATCAATATAACACCATAACACCATTAAGAGTCAAGCATGTTGGGTGACTATTGTAGGAATATTCACAAAATATATCACTGGTAAATATTTAACAGAAAAGAGTGTGATTAAGTAAAATAGGCATCTAGATACCATTTGACGAATAGCAGAGTCGAAGGATCTTTTTGGAGCAGAACTTGGGGAAAATATTCTAGTTGAGTTCTTGGATAATGCAGGAGCTCTATTATTAGGAAAGCCACCAATTCTCTTCGAAGCCAAGCGGTCTAAGCTACCCACATGAATGGATTGTAAAGAGTCCACATCATCATCACCAGATGATGCCACAGAACCTTTGCTGTGTGAGCTAATTGGGTCTCTGTCATAACTGTGTGATGAACTAACACTTCTAGAGGCTGGAGACATTGATTGTCTGCCAAATTTTGAGCCTGAGTCCCTACTATTTTTGGATGCTGGAGAGGAACCCCTTACATATGATGCTGGCCGATCAGCTACAGAAGTGCGAAGATTTGGCGGTGCTTCAGAGGAGAACCCAGGGATATTTGACTGCCATGCCCTTATTTTTGGTGAGGCAGAGTTCCCTCTACTTGTCCTTATGGGCGAAGTTCCCCTCGCCCCTGATCCTGTGCTCATTCTCCCTGGAGTTGAAGACCTAGGAGCAGATGTTGAGGCTTTACTTGGAGGGGGAGATGGCCTACGTGATGGAGTGGCAGGCTGTTGAGTGGGAGTTGGACTAGAATGAGGTGCTGATGACGGCCTTCCTCTTGGCTGAAATGTGCTGTTACCAGAACCCAGGGAAGGGCTTAAGCGATTTGGACTTGCACTGCCCCTACTGCTCCTGTGACTCTTCTCCATCTATATATGGATGCACACATCTCACTTACAGGCAATTGAGAATGGATAGAAATGTATTCTTTATCCAAACCTTAAGGGGTAGCAAAATAAATAAATTTTATTCCATAAAAGCAGTCAATGACTTACTGTCGAAGATCTTGCTATGGAAATGGGTTGACTACGTGGTCTGCCCCTGGATGCAACATTAACTAGTGGCGGCTCATCATCCAAAGAAGGAAAAAGTGGGGTGTCAGGCGGAGTTAATAACCTACAAAATTATTGCGACCAAGCAATTCATTAAAACCAAAAACAGCTAAGAGCACTCTTGACAGCTTTAAAGCAAGATGCAAAAGAGAAAATGTGAAATAATTCCTATAAAATTATTGTTTTTCAGCTTGTCTTTGCAAATTAATAATTCAATCAATGTCACTAGTAGCTTGTACATTTAGAAACTAGACTCGTTGTATACCTAGAAAACTTGATATTTTTATCTATGATAAATCTATCCATATAAATCGAATATGTGAGACATGAGTGGACTGTGACACAAAAACAAGTTTCCCTTTGTGAAAACTTAAATGTTTCCTTCTGTTTGCTAAAGAAACAAAAAATTAGGATGGCGTAGTAAAATGTTTCCAAATAGGAAACCATAACCCACCAGTCATAGTCATCCTTCTCCCCATCTATATTAAGAAGCTCACTATTCTCTCCTCGAACAGGGATTGAAACTTCAAGTTTGAAGTCTGAGAAGTATCTCAACTTTGAAGCTGTGTAAAAATATTTAATTCAATCACAAAGCAAGCAACATGATTAGCCAGAAGAAACATTTATAATTGGGAAAGGATAACACAATGAACCAAATGACAGAACAGAGCTTCAACAGAAAATTACAGAACGTGTCTTCAAAGTCACCAGCTGACTGAAGCAAGAAACTCTCTCTTTCTCGAGACTGCATTTCATTGAACAAAGCAAGATCATCATCTTTCTCTTCGAGGAGCGATCCACCTTCAAGGCTATGCCCTCGCTTATGATTGTCAGCTCTTGGCTCTCTCCCAGGAGAGTATCTCAATGCTGGAGAAGGCGGCATCTCCTCCACTACAAATAAACTTCCAGACTAATCACTGCAACCTCTCCTCAACACTAATACCAAAACAACCCCCTTCCAATCAAATTTCCTATAAACGAACATCCAACGAAGAACCAAACAAATGCACTAGCCAAAACTAGCTCCACTTCTAGCAACCCGAGACAACGACAATCAATCCCCACGCATGCAAATTTAACACCAAATCTTCAGAAACAAATGCCACAGCATAGTATATACCATCACATTAATTAAAGCAAATGCAACATTCAAAATTAATTAGCTCAACAACCATATGACAACAAGAATAAAACAGAATCCTTCATCACGAAATACAATTTCAAAACCCTAGATTTCTTTCCATATTATCCCAACACACTAATACTACACTCCATCACACTCAAAACCCTCCAATTCAACTCATCCTCAACTTCTAACACCCTTCCACCGAAGAAACAAAGCAAAAACTCACCGTTTCAAGTCAATGAGGTGGAGCGAACTGAGCAAAGTAGCAGCAGCAGCTTCACTCACCAGAAACCGAAAAAAATAAAATATTCAAGTCAAAATTTCTTCAAAGAAGATCTCGAATTCCAAGATTAAATGCCAGTTTACAACGCCAAAAATGCTTCCTTTTCTGGATCTAAACGCATTTTATGCTCCAGGTAATTCACTGCCAGATCGCCCGTCGCTTTCCTTCGAATTTTTCCAGCATTTGAAATTTCATAATAATACTAATAATCGTTATTTCTTTTAGGCTGTCGTTGCAGAGCTGCTTGGATTTGCTTCTTTCCTTCCTTCCTTTCTCACCAACACCAAAATTTCACATACATTTTTTTTCTCTTTCTTTCTCAGTCAATTCCCGTCTATGAATATTTCCTTTTTTCTTCTTTTCTAAATTATTTATTTCTAATTATTATTTTCTTTATTTGTCTTAGTTCTATTTTGTTTTAAGACAGTACAATACCAGAACTCTTAACACATGATTTATTAATTTAAGGATAAATGTAAGCGGTCACGTGCTTTGATAAGCTTTTTTAGTACTTTAGTTTCACGTATTCTTACCATGATTTTTTTTGTTGTTATAAAATTAAATTAATTAATTACATAATTCTTAGGATTTATTTTTTCTTGTATTGTACATGTATTATACGTACTAGATTCTGACGATCGAAACTGTTTAAGGGGACACGTATTTAATTTTCACATTAAATTGGCATTCCTTTGATAAGGATTCAACCTGCCTCACAAAATTTAAGTTCAATTTTTTGGAAAATTCAGTTTTTTTTTTTTTTTAATTTAAGTCCAGTTCCTTTGATAAGGCATTCCTTTGACAGAGAGTTTCGCATGTATTTACGTGGGTAGGTGTTTTTCATTGTAGTTAAAATGTTATTTATTTAAAATTAATTTTTCTATTATTGTACTGTATTCATATAAAAAATAAATATTAAAAATACTATTTTAATACACTTAAAATTTTTTTAAAACATAATTCTCTCACATTCAAAAAAAAAACTAAAATATAAAAATATACACATCAGTTAATGCTGTATAAAAATAGTTTGTAGAGTCACGATTTGGGTATTAATAAGAACTGCGAGTAAAATCTTTTTTTTAAGAAAATAATCGAACATTTATTTTAGAGGATAAAAATCTTCTATGGTGAATAAAATAATAAATATAACAGTTTTTTTAAAATATTTTCTTGTCATGCATGCATTTTGAAACACGTGGCATGTGCAGCGTAGAAGATGATGTATGAAGTCAACACAACGACGAAGTTATCACTGGCCATGGCCACTTATGGAGAAGATTGAGAATGATGTCGTTTTAATTGGTAGGTGATAGAGAAGACTTAAAAGGCTCGAGCAATCATGAAAACAACTCTTTACTGCCAAGATTTGGCTGCCACCAGTCTTGCATTCAAGCAGTGTCCACATAAAGCAAAGCAAGTTAAATTCTGGTTACCGTGGAAGGAGCTGTAAAGCTTTGATGTACATGCAGCTCCTTCTTCTTCTTCTTAGCCATCCCACTCCAGGCAGCGAACCCTAGGACCATGGATCTGGGGATCAATCCATGGTATTAATCCTACTGTAACAAAACCAGTGATCAAACCCTTGTTTTCAGCTCAAGAAATTATCGATCTTACTGACTGAGCTGCCCACAAGGAGCCATGCTGCAACTTTTTGTCCGAGGAGACGGGGGTGAACGGTGAAGGCTGGAAAAGTTGAAATCTATCTTCGGCTGCGATATCATAACCTAATCAGGTGGCGTTGTGATGGTTAGCCCATCACTTTGGATAAAGACCAAGCTTGATTAAAAGTCAATATCAGAGTTCTTGGCCCATGATTAACTCGCTTTATCTACGTTGACTCACCATCCAATACCATTCCCCCATGTATTGATTTTAGAAAAGTCAAACATTTTTTTTAAAAAAGAAACATGAAGAAATTACAATAAGAGAGGCGATCGGAGAAATGGAGTAAAAAATTATTGGTGTTAAACCCGGTTTAATAAGTTAATTTAATAATTTAAATTATAATTCATTTTAAGTTTTAAATTAAATTAGATTAAAATTAATTTAATATATTCCAATTGATATAGCATGTTAATTCATAAGCTAATAAGTTTATTTTTAACTTAATTAAAATTAAATTTAAACTCTTTAAAAATAAAAATAATATTATTTTAAATTAATTTATATTAACTATGACATATAATTGAAGTAAATCATTCACTTTAATAACTTAGAAATAACTAAGAAGCTACAGGCGGAGGTGAGGACCTTACCTTGATAAGGTCTGGAAAAAAAAAAATGTTCTATAACATGAGATTCAAGTCCGTATAAGTTTTAATATACCAGATCTTGTAGTTTTTATTAATAAAGCCCTATCAATTAATATTATATGGAAGAAATCAATTATATACACTAATGTATTTATATCTGCGTCCAAAATGATAGTCTATAATTATTTTAATGTTTGTTTTTAAAATTATTTTTTAATTAAAAATATATTAAAATAATTTTTTTAAAAATTATTTTGAAATACAAAAGTAATGCCATGATATTAATTAAATAAATCATAAAGAGTTAATTTGCTAAAAAGCAAATAACTAACGAAGCTATAAAGGTCGAAGATCTCACCTTGGTAATTGATACCCAGTTACCCACTGCCCCTAAAGGCAGTCCGCCGTCTTAACTTTCCGACACTTGTTTTTTTCGACCTTTTGTACACTAGCGAGGCCGGTAATAAGTAATAACTGCTCCGTGGGAACTAATGCCATGATATTAATTAAATAAATCATAAATAGTTAACTATAAATTAATTTCTATAGTTTTCGAAAACGAATTATTTAATCCATCTAGTTTATCAAAGCATCCCATGGACCTGTATAGAAAGGCAAACCCATGTACCGTAAGATCATAGCCCAATCTGACTTGTCGTGCCAAGCATGGCCCATACCGTGAAGTTCGTGGGTGCATCTGCCCCTTTTAAAAGTCAACAAAAAAATGGAGGGGAAAAAAGTTAATTATAAATTAGTCCCTTTAGTTTATCAAACAGATTAATTAACCCTTCTATAATGAAAAATTATTTAATAATTAATTGACCGTTAAATGGATAAAAGATCCGTTAGTTTTAACACGAATACCCAAACTCTCTTTGTTGCATGGATGAGGAAAATTTAAAGATTTCTTACAATAAATGGACTAAATAATTTATTTCCGAAAACCACAAGGACTAATTTATAAACTAAAAAAACTCACCTCGTGTCGATCGCACCATGGAAAAGTGGGTGGGAATTAGTCTCCGCGGATCAACCAAATTTGCCGTCTATTAATTGTCAAAAAAAGGGCCCCCTGAGGTACCCAATTTACTTGTTTGCCATAGCAAGCCTGTGCCAGCGTCATCTTGCCTCGTCGTCCATGGCAATTGAAACATGCTCTCTCACTGGCTTCCTGGTAAATAATGACAAAAACCATACCCGATTAATGTAGGGAGGGACCAGCGACAAAGGTCAATCACAGATCAACTATCTTCGAGTGTATCGCCACTCTAATAACAGTCTCCGGAGCTAACAAAGCAAGGCAAGGGAACAAACGATCACATTTCTTTATAAAAAGCCAAGCATATCGTTTTGGTTTCCCTGGCTCTCTTCTTCCCTTCCAATTCCTCTTCTTCTATTCTAAGGAGACGCTTTGGACATCTCATGGCTGCTGCTGCTGCCGCTTCCCTTGCCGGATCCAATGTCGTCGCCTTCAAATCCGCTGCTCATCTCGGCCCCTCCGCTGATATCAGAATTGCTCACTTTCGGCCCTTGTCTCCTGTTTCCCGTGGACTCGGGCGTCGCATTTCTGTCCGGTCTGGATCGAGGAGCTCCCTCGCTTCTTCTGGTATCTATTTCACTTTCAAAAATAGGGAGACAGGAGTGTGTCGCTGTTATTTATTGAATGGTAATTGATTGATTGTAATGCGTGGCAGGTGTAAGAGCTCAGGTCGCGACTGTTGAAACAGCGAGCGCGGAGGCGGCGCAGAAGGTGGAATCGCCTGTAGTGGTAGTGACTGGAGCCTCTAGAGGTATTGGCAAAGCTATTGCTTTGTCTCTGGGAAAAGCAGGTTGCAAGGTTAGTAAAAAATTCCTCTATCAAACTTTATTGTATCTTGGAAAATGGTGAATTATAGATTCATGTTGTTTGTCTGATATTGCAGGTCTTGGTAAATTATGCTAGGTCATCAAAGGAAGCTGAGGAAGTTTCCAAAGAGGTAGGTGACTGATCTTGCTATAAAATTTAGGAGTTTAAGGTTATCTTAGGAGAACTTCTTGAAAACTTGTATTTATTGATGTTATTTTATTGATATGTATTCGATAACATAAATGTGATCTCTCTGATTTTTGAATTTTTAATACCAAGGCGTTGTTCAGTTTTGCATTTAGTGTCTCATGGTTCAAGGTCTTGATGATTTTTTTTTTATTTTAAGCGTTAGCTGATCTCTGATGATTTCTGGTCATACGAAAATTAATCCTGTTTTTGCTGCCGATCAACTCTTTTCCACTTAGTGTTAAACTGACATGCTTTAAAGAGCTCAAAATGTGAATAAGCTCCTTTGTAACCAGATTTGGCTGGCGAATAATGAATCCATTGCTTTCTTTCTTTTGTTGCCGTGCCAAATGTCTACCCTTTTGTTGTATGGCCTATGCTCCATGACCTTTTTGAAATGGAAGTAAATAATTACTAAAAATATAATATGATTTACTTTTTTGAGATGAAATTGTTTGAGATTGTGATGTTTAGTTTAACAACTTTTCCAAGTTTTTTCATTTATTTTTATCACACCTGTAGATTTCAGTTCACTTCCTGTATGTGCAGTTGTCCCTTCTGTTTGCCGGAAATGGAGTTTTTGCTAATTCATATTGCATGATTGAAATGACCACTGGGTTTATTTGATAATTTTGTAGATCGAGGCTTATGGTGGCCAGGCCCTCACTTTTGGGGGTGATGTCTCAAAAGAGGCTGATGTGGAATCAATGATGAAAACTGTGAGCAAATGTTACCTTCTGTTTAATGAATTTAATCATGAATATTATTTATAGCGATGCTAATGATTTGTCACATTTGTAGGCTGTTGATGCATGGGGAACTGTTGATATACTGATAAATAATGCAGGTTAATAATACTTCTATCTTTCCTTATTGCTTTCTGTTTCATTTTCAGTCCTCATAATGCCACATACCTCTATTTTAGGAATTACACGGGATACTTTGTTGATGAGAATGAAGAAATCTCAGTGGCAGGAGGTTATTGATCTGAATCTCACCGGTGTATTCCTCTGCACGCAGGTTTGTGCAATAAGATCCAACTAGTTTGATTTACCTTATGCTTGTGATTATCTTAATCATGCTGATATTGTGTGCTCTTTGCAGGCGGCAGCCAAAATTATGATGAAAAAGAGAAAGGTAAGCTTGTTTTCCCATCTTCAAGTTATTTGATCTTCATTGCCCTTTGCTCATTTTGTCCAGTGACATGTTTGTGCCCATGCCCAATTTGTTACAGTATTGAGCCTTTTTTCCCTACAAGTTTAATTTTCTTTCATTCATCATGCACTTCTCTTATTAATAATTTTGCTTCAACAGCATCAGATTGGTGTTGAGAAGCTATCATAGACCAGAATTCCATTTCTTCATAATGAAACTTGTACCAAGAACATGGAGTTATGTCTCGAGGTTAAAAATAACTTTAAGACTTGCCACCATAAGTGTTTCCAATGGGTGTATGCATGCACGCTGACTTCTCCAAGTTTAAGGATACTATCAACTAATTCAGCTCCTTTGTAGCTAATACCTCGTATATAATAATTCCCAGAAATTAAATGATAACATTATACAAGTTCTGGTAAGTAAATTTTTTTAATTTTGCAGGGAAGGATTATTAACATAGCATCAGTTGTTGGTTTGGTTGGCAATGTTGGGCAAGCCAACTATAGTGCTGCAAAGGCAGGTGTTATTGGCCTGACAAAGACTGTTGCAAAAGAATATGCAAGCAGAAATATTAATGTGAGTTTTCAGGAGTTTTATCTTTTTGTTAGAGTTCTGCACTTTCCAAGTTTTTGCATGATTCGTGTGTGTTTGGCTTGGAGGTGTGGTGGTTTTTTTCCAAAGGTCCAACCCTTTTAAAGCACAAATCACACCTCTAAAAGCTAAAAACACATGCTTTTTATGTGGGTCCCATAAAAAAACAAAAAACCAAAGCCACCAAACCAAACACAGAACCAGGTCTAATTAAGATGATTTTCCAGGTAAATGCTGTTGCCCCAGGATTCATTGCATCTGATATGACTTCCAAGCTTGGAGATGACATTGAAAAGAAAATCTTGGAAACAATACCCTTGGGTGAGAATATATTTTTCCTAGCGTGTTACTTTTTATCAAATTTCATATTGATGTTGGCCTTTCATGTTTCTGCTGCAAATTATTCAAGGCGTTGGATTTTCAAAGCATTTGAGAAGCATTTGTGTGAAACCCATCTGAAAGCCCTCATTATTTTTTTCTTTTATGGCTATTTTACAGGGTTCATCAAATCTATGTTTGTTTCTAGTAGTATATGTGAATATTTATCCAGTTCTATACTTCAACTGAAAGACAAGTCAATATTAGTTTAATCTCCGATTAAACAATTTGAACCCTAATTAGTTGAAAAAAATTTCATGAACATCTCATAGAATTTTTTTCGGATTAGACATAATAATTGCCATGTTTTCAGGACGTTATGGCCAACCAGAAGAGGTTGCTGGACTAGTGGAATTCCTGGCTCTTAACCCCGCTTCCAGTTACATCACTGGACAGGTTTTGAATCTATTCTGTTTTGTTTTCCCTCGTTTTGTAAGTTTTAACTAGCTTTTCTAAATTATTTATTGGGGCTCTTAACTTGCTTTGTCTAAGCACTTGCAATGTCATGCCAGGCCATGCCATGGCCAAGAACTGACTGTAACGAGTTCCATTGGATAAAACCAAGTGTGCATAAGAGCTCCTTGGCATGGCTCGCCTCACCCTGCCTTTGGCATCCATGGCAAGGCTAACCCAAGGGAAGGTCATCCTGCTCCTGTTCCATTTCCATGGTCGCTAACTTAGATATTACTGTCTTGCAGGTGTTCACTATCGATGGAGGAATGGTGATGTAAGTGACATGCCATGTCTGGCTAAACCGTGAAATCTCTGCACTTTGAAGTTCATACAGGTGGTTTTGGAACCGCGTTTCAAGTTAGGGTATGATTAGCTTGGGCAGGACAGTTTGTGGCATAATATAACCGTGTAATAAATGAGCACTCCCGACAAGTTTTGATAGGATCAACCATGAAACGGAAAAATAGAGAACGTGTATCAGTTTTCCTAGGCATTGGCTGGCACATGGAAGTGTAATTGCTTTGGTATGAGTACAGAATGTGGCGTTTATCAGCGTTTGTTAAAAGATAAACCAGTGAACATGATTCGTTTTTTTAGGCTATTTCAGAGAATGAAAGCCTCAGTCTAACTTGTGGTTGAACAGTAATGGGAGTGAATATCTCGGATTGAATGGGGTGGAATTTAGCCCATTAGATTTTGGATTTTGGAAAATCTCCTTCTCTCTTGTCTTCCTGTTGAGGAAGGTATTAGGGTTCAATAAGAGTCCCAATTTACTCAACTTCCGATTGATCATCATGCTATGCCTAACTTCTAGGAGGTGCAATTCCTACGTGGAAAATATCCGAATATGCTCGAGAGAATAAAGAACAAGGTAGGGTTCATTACACCCTAAGCCAAGCACCGACCTTTACTTTACTTTTCCTTGCGGAACACTAACTTTATTCTTCTTATCGCCTTTCCTTTTCCATTTTTAATTCTTGACCCCTGTGCTTGGCCTGGTAAAAATCTTGGCATCACCCAACCCTGATTGTTGCTTTATATTTATGGTATGGTAGAAAACTGACAGCGACAGGATTGAATTCAGGGAATACACACCAAGATATTATTATAAGATATCATTCACCCTTAAAGAGACTCACACCTCCCTTGTTTCCTTCCCTCGAACCTCGAAGCCCTCCTTCAAAGAATACCCAAATCTCTATTTATTTGTCAGCAAGGATTCTTTGGTGATAACAGAAGTCTCAAAAAGCATCGATCCTGTGTTAATTACCTGCAACCGGGTGATATGGATGCTCTAGTTCTCTTGTGTCCAACCCTACCCAGATTCTTTGCTGGTTTCATCTCCACGTATTTTTTAGGTTATTTTGTGTTTTTTCGAAACTGGGAACTGAAACATCGAAAAGAAGCTTCAAGCTGCCTCATGTCCCTAGCTCATGGCAGTCCTGCTGTTATTATGGCTGTCCGTGCACTACTACACAGCCAGACCTTAGGTACCTTTGCTCATCCCAACTCTGCTTCAGAAAACACAGTCCTTGAATTCAGTATGGCTTACTTCTTGGCAGACCTTCTTCACTACATGGTATTCTTCCCTGATGAAACTCTCTTCATACTTCACCATTTAGCAACATTATATGTGTTTGTCACTTGTCGTTATATGATCCATTATGGAGCACACGGACTTCTTCTGCTACTCATACTTGCCGAGGTTACAAGTGCTTGCCAGAATGCCTGGAGCATTGCCGGTAGCCGGAAAGCTGATGTTCCTGCCGCTGCAAGATTGCATGAATTCTTGGCGGCTCCGTTCTATGCTCTCTACTGTCTCGTTAGAGGTATTTTCGGTCCTATCTGTTTGTTTAAGATGGGGGTGTTTTATCTGAATGGAGGAGCTCACGGTTTGATTCCTGCATGGGCTTGGATTTCTTGGATGGTTGTGATTGGAAGTGCAATATTGGTTAGCATATTGTGGGTTTCAAATCGCTGGGCAGAATGGATTAGAGAGAGAAGCCATCAAGCACAGAAGAAAGTTGGGTAGAGTTCTTCGGGGGTTCTCCCGAGGGTAGCTGTATTGTCTAAATTGGCTCTCGCAATTGTGGGTTTAACATGTGCCATGATTGCCCTGCCCTGTAATTTGGGGGTTTGTAATTATACTGATAGGTGGGCTAGGAGAAGATAGAACATTTATCTAATCAATGAAATTGTTTAACAGAGATCAGGTGATTACTAGCATCTGTGTTGTGTGATTACTTCGATGATCTATTGCAGGACGAAAGTGGTTGAGATGTTTGACAAAATTATAATTTAAACTTAAATTAACTGCATGGAACATCGAGAGTTGAAGTGAATGAATATAATACAGTATGTATGTATGCCAAATATGCTGAGTTTGATTGTTAGAAAAGAACAAGATTGATACCGGTGGTCATGAATCACTCAACCCATGCAATTAATTTACTTACATGCGGAAATCTTCTATCAAAACGAGTTTCCAGAATCGACTGTGTTCCGATGAATTGAACATTCGGTGTGTTGGATCTTTAATTCTGATCTTGTGCTCCAGCTTTGTGCCATTTCGCGTTTGGAACATCACTCACTGAGTTTAGGTCCGGTATTTGTATGCCTCTAGTAATTGAAGCATTCATCTTGTCAGGACTCCCATGGTACTTGAGCTCAGCAAAAGTGCCACCTCCTTGTCCCTTTGCCTGTGTTCCTGGGTTTATGCAAATGGACTTCCTTTGCTCTTCCCCTTCAACCAGGAAAATCACCTGCGCCAGAGAGCACAAAATTAAAGGGTTTGAAGAAGATGAATCCATCATCCACCGGTCAGTTACATTTTGGAAACTATTTTGCGTTTTATTTTCTTGAAATTGAGACTAGAACTGTAAGGAATCAGGTATTTGGCGTTATGTTTACCTTTATAAAGTACTTCATGTCTGAAGGCAGGATGAGAAGATCTGGAATTGAGGTGATGTGAAGAGCTTCTGGAGACAATTCACCACTTTTTGACTAGTTACCTTCTCATTATTTCCAGACAAAACAACTCATCAAAGCTCCTGCCTAAAGTCCCTTTCTTAATCTCTGAATTTTCAGAATCAAGTAATAGCCCCATCTAAGAACAGCACCAATAAGTCTGGCGTGATATTTCCAGAGACAGCAAGGAATCCACGCATGATATTAGATTCAAGAATAGAAAAATCATACTAGTATAAGTAATTAAGGTAACTTTCTGCCTGCGTATGCTTGCAGATCAGTCAGAGGCTCAAATAATAAGCTGTCTGTTGTGGTAAAAGGACCCGTAGTAATAAGCTGTTAAGACAAAAGAATTATTTCCTTAGGATTGAAAGATTGCAGGAATACTAGAGAGCAAATGCGAGCGCTCAATTTAATATTATATCTAATGCGACTTGTGAATTAAAACATTGATAGATAAGTGAATTATTGTCTAAAGTAGTTATTTTAATTCCATGTTTTCTGTCAAATGCTCTACAATTTTAATCCCATGTAAGTGAATCATTTATACCATCCACGCCAGCAACAGCTATGAAACATGGTATGTGTGGTGTATGATCAAACACTAGAAACAGTGTTATTCTAATATCCCCGTGTAATGCAGAAGACAAAGCTACATACAGCTGATATTACTATTGCAAAGATATGGCACACGTAATCAGGATTAGCATTTAACAGTCTCTTCCCTGTGACTGTCTTTCATATGACAAAAATATCCAAGAACACCTCGTCTGTCAGATCTTTCGACTACAAATCAAGGGATTGGGAAACCTTGGTCCTGCTTTAGCCTGGACACAACCCCTTCAGGGGCCAACTTGGCCAAGAGGGGACTTTGGAGAGACCCAATACAGTTATGTTTATCACGTTGCCTGACACACAGATTTCTTCCAAAGAGACCATTTCTCAGACCATCAATTGGCATCGTTGCAGTATTGCTTAAAGATACCAGCAAGTAAATCTACTTGATCATGAAATTCCTAATATACATGTCCCTTCCAAGTCGCATAAAGGAAACTCCTGGCACTTCTTATACCTGCTTTGCAGCATGATGGACCTTCTCATTTAGACACCCTTCTCCATCACAACAAATCATTCCAACAGCAAATATATTTCTTTGAAACAATAGTTCAAATCAAATGCATGAATGCACAACCTTACAAGCATGAAAGTTCTTAACATAAAGCATAACGCAGAATTTAGAGAGCAATTAATTCACGAAAGGCCAACTTAGAAATAATCTTATTTTTTAGCCCAAAAAAAAGTCAATAAAAGAAGAGGGTGCGGGAAGAAACCTGGATACAAGAAATACTAACATAATTGATATGTCAGGATCCCCTGGAATAATAACAAAATTGATATGTCAGGGTCCCCCGGATACAATAAATAATAACAAAATTGACATGTCAGGTTCCCTATACAATTATTTATATCCATCAAAGATAAGCAAGCCATGGTATTACATGCTGATATGATTGTACTTATCTGAATGCGAATAAATACATAAATATCATTAAAGCAAACACCAGCCAAGTTACCTCAACTGTGGGGTCCATCCGTTCTCATCAGCCTAGAAGTGAAAAGTGCAGTTGCGCACTTTCTAATCCCATTTTCAGGTGCATTAAACTAAACAATGAGAAAATATGTAATTTATGTTGGTGCAATACAGAAAAAGTGGAGGTAAGAAGAACCACTTTATAGTTTATGCAGTAAGAAGTATCATATATCCTATCTTCAATCCTCTCGTACATGAACCTTCAACCAGGATCTGGTCCCAATCCATGGACTATCAAAGAATACCTCTTGCAGGGTTAAGCCCTCTTAATAATTTCATCGTCAAGTTTCCCATGGCCATGCTCACCATCATCGTTTTCCACATCGGAAAGGTTATCAATGTTGGATGTGACCACAAACTTATCAGTACATCGTCCAAAGGGTGTCACAAGTTCTGATGGTTTCCCAAAAGAACAGCCATTTACACACAATTTGGATGTTGAATCAGATGGCTCCAACTAGAGTTTTAGAGATTTGTCTGTTGGAGTGCTAGGGATTTCTTCTTTCAAATCTTCTTCATCATAATTCAAGATCTTAGACATTTTCAGTCCACGTCGAAACAAATTAATAGCAAAACAAAGAAACAGCAATCAAATAAACCACTCACATGTCCACATCTCTGCTTGGATAGATATGCAGACTGGGTTCCTCTTTAACAACAGCTTCTTTCAGTTCATTTTGCAAGCGCAACAAAAACCCATCCATTTCACCATTTTGATCTGTCGATTCATAGAGTTGCCTGCGACGTATTCACATTCTGCTCACACGGTTAAGATCGAAAGAAATTTTATTTGTTTTTACTTATGTGAAAATTAAAAATATAAATAAATAATCATGAAAAATAATAAAGAAAAAAAAACATAGAGGGGGAACAAAAAATCACCCATTGAGATAGTAAATCTCCCAGCTTGAGACGATGGATGATGGCTTCAGATTGTAACTTGTACAGAAAGAAAGACCTAATAATAAAAAAATATGATTAGGACCTGAACTAGTGGCATTGCAAGAAAATTAAGGGGAAAAAGATTTTTTTTTCTAAAACTTTTCATGTTTTCTTGAATATAAAATGTCAAAGTTTTAATAAGAGAAAGCAGATTCTCCCTCAAGACAAGTTGACCGTTAATGTTAGGAAATTACTATTAGTGTGGCAAGATTTCATTTTCACCTAGTAAAAGCTTAATTAGTGTTATTATCAGTAACATCATTTATGCTGTCTCTCGTAGCTTTTGTCCCTTATTAATTTCATGATTTGTAATTTTTTATTTGTCATTGTTATCTATAAATAAAATTATTATTTGATAACAAATTAAAAAAAAAAAAGAGAATATACAAAGCTAAAAATATAAAAAATATAGAAGAAATTAGATTGATAAAAGCAACAAACAATGATTGCTATTACAGCATTATAAAAAAAAAAATAAGGTTGAAAATTACAAAGAATAGATAATTTCTTTTTTTTATTATTATAAATCTTGTTTTCTTTTTTTATATAATCAAATAATATCTTTTATGGATGTAGGTAATTACATTAAAATATTGTATTAGAATTTAACAATGATCGAAATATCATCAGTTAGAATTCTAACCGTTAATGCTTTTTATATACTTTTAAATTTTGTATATTTACCTTTATATGTTAAAAATATTTTTTAATTAAAAAAATATTAAATTGATATTTTTTCTATATATTTTTAAAAAACATCAATTTAAAATATTTTAAGGTAAACAATATATTTGGGTTTTCTCTTTCACTTCCCAAAAAAAATTCATCGATTTCGATTCTGCTCTCTTTCCTGAGGTTCTTGAGGATCAGATGAGAAAGTTTACTTCGAAACAATTTTCACCTACTGTTGTGCTTTTATCATAGATTTATAGAAACACAAGAACTCCACGTTTGTGCTGCTCTTTCCTTCTTTTGTGCATGGTATATGAGCCATACAAGCGTTGAACAAACAACACTGAAACTTAAGAAAGAAGATTGAGCTACACCTTGAACTTCGAACCAGCTAATCTTGAAGATCAGCACATGGCTGGCTGCAAATCTCATATCAAAATCTATTTTGATGCTTTATGTACAACTTTTTTTTATTTTTGTACATAAAATTAAGCAACAACGTGTTGCTTAGCATAACAGAAAATCACTTCTACTAGACCTAGGCAATGATGGATTTGCATATCATGTTGATGGTGATGAAGAGAAACCCTAACATAAATTCCAGAATTGTTAAATTCGAGTTTCCTGCCGAGGGCACAACCAGCAAAATAATTGTTGATACCCTCTCTCCATATCTGCCCTGCCCTTGTGATCGCTTTTGGTAAGATGTTCATGAGAAGAATTCATAGTCCTTGGCCGTAAGGATGATATGCCTTAGGGCACCAATGGGTGACAGTATCATCAAGAGAACGCCTAGTATAACGCAGACCTGGAAAATATTTTTGAATTAAAATCAAATTAATCAGCTCAAGCCTCAAGGTAATATTGATTACCATGCAGTGCAGGTGGTTAAAGATTACATACCCAATTTGCTGTCCAAGAGAAGCCGAACCTCTTCGGTTTGTAGATGGAAAGCCACATGACGCAGGGGAGCTGCAAACAGTAGAGTTTTTTTTAGTAATTATAACATAAATATGCAGCAGGTCTGGCCATAGTATGTGTGCTTGTGTGCGTGGGTGCAGAGCTTACAAAGTATGTTGTTGGGGCAAAAGCAAATCCTCCGAAGAAAGAAAGCAGGCCATTGAAGAATGGAATACATATACCAACAAACATTGTGAGCCCTGCAGCAACAAGTCAAAGAAAAGATTTAGCACCCAAAGTTGCAGATGCAAACTTACAGAGGTATTCAGAACAGGTAGCTTGCTTGCTGAGAGAAAAATAAAAAGTGGCCTGGAAGCTGCACTTACCAACATATACCGTGCGAGTAACAAAGCGAAGCATGAAAGAAGGAGAAAAATGGAGTTTCTTCACCAATGCAGTTTCCAGCAAGTCGAACACTGCAATTGCATATATCTGCAGATTGGAACATAGAGACGAATATATATATATATATATATACGATCAGTCAATACATGTGCATGCAAGTGCAGTAGGCCAGGATAATAGACCAAGCCTAAACTCATGAAAAATAGAACTGATGATTGCTAAAAATATTTTTTAAAAAGACCACCTGGTAGCTTCCGATAACATGAATGACAACAAACATGTTAGCAGTTGCAATAAGCCAAGCTGGTTTCTCGAGTGAGATAAGAATGTTGTCTTCCACGCTGTTTCCAAAAAACCAGTATCCAATCAAGGCAACTGGGAAGTAGCAGATGGCGACGACGACATATGCAAGGAAGGCTCCTCTCCACATGGGTTTCTTGGAAGGCTTCTCTGGAGTAGAAGGGATTGTTGCTTGAATCTCCAAGACCACATTGTGACCAGCATATGCAAAGGCTACATCACCCAAGGCAGTGATAAAGTCAAAGAAAGCTCCTGTTCTAGTTCTTGCTTTATAGCTGTAGTCGACATCAGGCTGAACCCCCTTGTTAAGCGTGGCAGCCCAAGCAATTGTAGAGTAACTGCAAGCAATTATCATGATATCCAAATTAAGAAGGGTCTAACTGGATTGTGCATATAGATCTAAAACGGATGGTAATTTAAATAATTATGCTTGCATGGGAATTGCAACATTGTTAGAAAGACATTAATTATAACAGCCATTTGTATTTGATGGCTGGGTACATACATATGTACGTACCTTAAGGACATGACTGCTGCAGCCAGCGAGATAACACTAATGGAGTTGAGATTGGGAAGATGAGCCAGTACCATCTGAACTGAGGCGAAAATCATGATGAAGTATGTTAGCCTGATGTCTTTGCAGTTGGGGCAAACCACATCATGGAACTTCTTCAATGATTTTCCTCCGGTAACCATGTAGACAATATTTACTCCAACCTGTACTATTAGTTGCTGTGGCACAACAATCCAGAGACCCAGCTTGTCTCCAAACACATGTTGCCCTAGCTCATGGTACCTATCAAATCGTTTGCCAGGCACCATCTCATGCATTTCGACCATTTGCCACAGAGTGTACAACGTGATCACCCATGACAAAACAAGTATGGCGATTCCTGGTCCCCTATAATTTCATTAATGCAGAACAAGGAAGTATTAGACAAGTAGCTCCTACACACACACAGACACACACATATATATATTGATCTACGTAGATATACCGATTAATTAGCAGCCAAATTAATTTAGTATCATCTTTAAAAATGGTCTGATCATGATAGAAAATCAAGCATACATACCATCCAAGTTGAGCCATGGCATAGGGGAGGCTAAGGACACCAGCACCAACCATGGCAGTAACATTGTGGAAGGTTGAGTACCACCATTTGGCTTTCCTAGAGGAAGTGATTGGAAGCCAATCATCTATGGCCTTCTCTTTTGCTGCTGCATCATTCCGTGACTCGTTGTAAGCCATAATTACAATCAAGCTTGCGAGTTAACTTGACGAAACAAAGTCGCAGAACAGTTGGCTGATCCAAGCAATCTTAGGGCCTCGTGGATCCTTAATTCTCCTCGAGCTGTATATACAGGAAGCTCTAATGAAATCAGCACAAAGAAAAGCAATTGTATATGAGATGATAGTGAGGAGGATGCTGTAATTATCAGATTATCCTTAGAACAAATTAAGATGGCAAATTCGTGACAGTTGGTGGCTCAGGATGCTATTTCGTTAGAACAAAGATGGCAGCTTCGTGACAGTTGGTGGCTCAGGATACTGTTTCGCTTCATAACCGGATTTTGAATCTAGCTAAGCCATCCGTGGAGGGACATGAGATACCACCGTTAAAAGTACCAAGATACCCTTATCCTGTGTGGTATCTATATCCACAGGAGGGGCTTCGTTAGTAAATTCGTGCATGTTTGAAAATGGCATGTTGAATCTCTAATTTGATACTGATATATTAGCCACTAGTTGATCGAAAATTCCTCCAAAAAGCTGGATATAATTAGATCAATAAGCTAGAAAGATGCGTGTATGGGGGAGACTGATGTCTTAAGCAGTGCAGGGAATCAGCTATAATTAGATGTCATTGCCATGTTGTTGTCTTGTTTCTTAACTTGTCGCTGAAGGAAGTGTTTCAATCAACTTCAACATCAGCTTTAGATATCTGCAAGGACATTAAAGCATATGACATAGTACTGTTTTGCAAGCTCACCACTCAACATTATGGTAAATCGTTTCTGAATATATGAGTTCGATTCCATAGTCAGTTTTGTTAGAATCAAACAGTTAATATACTGAAAAGAGTTCAACTGTGAATTAAGAAATGTAATAGCAGAGCTTCGATAATTATTAATAAAACTCCTTTAAACATTATTCAGACTAAGACAATCAGTATACACACACACACAATAAAACTAAAATGTGGAAAGAACTCTTTGGATTCCTAAACAAAAATTCTACTCTCTGAGGATCCTGCCAAGACTCCCAAGTCTTTTTACAATCAATTCAGGCTACTAATGGAGTGGCATGCTTGTAGCTCTGATTTGTCCTTGAATCTTCCACTGTTAGGCCTTGTGCACCAAAACAAAAGTACTGGTTCATCAACTTCTTGTTGAAGGATGCTTGTTTATGTTCTAATGGCTGATTTGAGTATGAGGTTCCTGCAATATCGATGTCCTTTTCTTTATCCAGTGAAATGGGTGAAGACAGGGATGATCTTGGAAAGGGACTTGAAGGTGAAACGGCTAAATGTTGTTTCGCCTGAATAACACCATGCATTAGCCCGATGGTAAATTTCTTTCTAGTTAATGGACTTGGAAGACTGCTCCTTCCAGAAAATGTCCTTTTGTTGGTTGAGAAGGAGAACAGTTTTGAGTATCTCTGCCGGAGAGGAATTGGACGGTCTTCCAAGGTTTGGCATAAATTAAATGAGTTCAAAGAGTCGTCATCTTCTAATTCCATAAAAGCAGCTTTTCTCTCTTTCCTCCTGGGCAACTGAAGGAGAGACCTAAGACGCCTTGCAGTATTATTTACAGAACCTGATTTTTTGTTGTCCAGTGAGTTACCCATGTCAATATCACTTGGATCGCTAAAGCATGAATTGTCACCAACACTTGTGTCATCACAACTGGCATCAAATGCGTTCTCGATACCAGTGTACAAGAATATCTCTGCATCTGGAATTCTAAAAGAAGTGCCAGGACTCATTCCTATACCATGCCCTTTCAGATGGGAAACAATAGCACTTCTAACTATGTTATCCTGACAATTAGAGATCCCTCCGGCTGAAATCAGCTGCTTTATTAAGATTTGAGAAGATGCTGATCTCGGTCGTTGCTTGAGGAGATCTAGTGGAGTCATGGCATCCAAATCACGGATATTTAAGTTGATTGATGGTACAGTCATGAGAAGTTCCACCAGATCAGACTGAATATTCTCAATTACAGCCAAATGAAGAACTGTTCTTCCATCATTGTTCTTGACATTAATGACATCTTCGATATTCACAATTTTACCACTCGCTAACTGCTTGATGAGCTCAATCTGCCAATCCACTCTTCGAAAACCAGTGGTTCGAAAACCAGACACTGCCATATGGAGGAAAGTATCTCCATAGTTGTTTGTAAAGGTTGCGAGTGAGGGAGATGCAAGTATCAGAACCTCTGCCACAGCTAAGTAGCCCCTGTAAGCAGCCACATGCAGTGCTGTGTTCCCTTGATAATCTTTGGAGGCAATGATATCAAAGGATGTAATAAGATCCTTAACCACCTGCACGAACAGGATAGATTATTCTGTAAGTATTATTTTTCTTAAGGATAGGGATATCACCATGAAGAACAAAGTGGATTCGTCCCTGCACAAGCACAAAATAAAAAATGAAGGGGTAATAGTAACAGAAATGGACTCGCGATAGGTATGCAATTACATGCCAGCAGATGGGCTCTAGATATAAAACATTTCCAATCATGAGATTCCACGTGAGTAGATAGGAGCGTTCATCTGATAGCCAGTCCATCAAACAGAAGTAAAAAAGAAAAGATAACTCCTATGATCTGTTGGCCATTTCTTTCAAGAGGTAAAATGAGTAGACTCTTACTGTAAGAACCAGCAATATGGGACTTTTGCCAATGTATGCATTGCGGCTAACAGCAATATGGGATTCTCCCAGAAAAGGCTTAATACCTATTTGATAAGTCAAGGTTCTTGATTTGAAGAAGGCTCATAAAATATGAACTGATGATAAAATTGGCACCTGAACAACAAAAATCTAAATGGTACACCGACAAACATGTGTTTCAAGGATGGCAGGTCTCAGAAATGGAAATTTGGATGGAAATGGCATCATGTAACTGCACTATTGCGTACGGCTTCGTTTCATTTTTGAGGAACTTATTGAATCCTTGGTCTAAAGTATTATTTGAGAAAAGTCAGATAAAATTTAACAATCAGTGTAGTAAATGCTCATGAGTAAAAAAATGGTATCACCCATAAGCACAGCTTAATTCTAACTTCATGCTTTACTGACTATGCTACTAGCAGTTTCAGGATTTGCAAGTCATAAATATCAACCTATGAAATCCTCCCTACTCCAACTCATATGCATAAGCAAACCTGTATCTTAACATATTCTAAAATCGTAGGAGAAATTCACTTAAAACCAATGAAAGATGTGAACTGTTGAAACAAGGGAGGGAATTAAACCAGGAGCAATCGAGGAGTCTAATCAAAAGCATCACAAATAGGTCCTTTCCTCAAATGGGGGAAATCAATCTTTCTCTACCAGTCATTTAATGTTAGATGACTGTCCTTTCTACCTCATAATAACTTAATGCACTTGGAAAATGTACTCAGAAAAGAGGAAAGGAATGACAACCATGCACCAGCAAAGTAAGATATCAGTAAAGCTTCTGACCATGAAACTACAAGTACAAGAACGAGCATCTAGAGTTACTGAAAAAGCACAAAACAGAAAAGGCCTTACCTCGACCTGCCCCCTCCCTGCGGCAGCATGTAAGACCGTGGACCCTTGAGCATCTCTATAAGCCAGAATATCAGAGCAATCTCCTAGAAGCTCCTTCAAGATCTCCAAATTCCCACCTCTAGCCGCAGCATGGACAGCTCTATTCATCATCTCCCAGTTAAATTCCGAATGAGTCTCACTCTGCTGCTCTACCAACTCTCCTCCAGAGCCAAGGCCACAACGGGGTGAAATAGAGAAATCAAGCAGGAGCCTGAAAACCTCAGAGTTCCTGCTCCTGGCCGCGGCATAAAATATGTCAGTAACACCATATTCTCCTTCTCCAAAAACAAGAAGAGGGTCTCTCTCCAACAATTCCTTGACAAAGCTCCCATCACCAGCTGAGGCAGCAGTGTACAAAAGCCAACCACCATATCCAGCTCTAATGAGAGTGTTGTGACCTCTTTTTGTTTCGCATTCTAGCAGGAGCTGCCTGGCTACATGAGAACGACATTTGGCAACATCATTGAACTGCTCCTCGCCGTCCCAAACAGTTTCTAGCCGACGAATCCGACGAAGGGAAGTGAGTTTGATTAGGAGATTCATGTCAAGGTAAAGTAGTTCCCTCACCAAGTCATAGTGGCCATTGGCAGCTGCAAAATCAATGGGTGTCGCATACCACCACTGATCTCCAGTGCTTTCCCACCTAAGAGGAAAGTGCGAAGGTGGCATTTTTGCTTATATTCGATGATAAAAAAACAGTAATAATTAGTAGAGCTGAGTAAGTATCCAGCAGATGTTTCAATCAAGAAAATGCAGAGAATTCAAGAATCCAGCGGGAAGTTGTGAAAATGAGAGCAAAAGTGGTAAGAGTGAAAGGCCATCAGCTATTAATGATTGCTAGCTCAACCTTTCAAAGTAGAATTGATTCTTTTTATGTGAGAAAGTTTTTGGGAAAGTTGCAGGGATAAGGAATATTGGAATTCAGGAATAAAAATTAGATCACAGCTCGTGGGAGTTAAACGAGGCACAGCGGAAGAAACAGAGAACTATCAAAGGAAACCCACAACCAACCAGATGATATAGAGGAAACAGGAGGCAAAGAGGGCAACTGTCGCTTAAACGAGGCTCCACATGCAATGAATGAAGAAGAGCATCTTGTGAAAGTAGAGGAAATGGAGGGAGGATACCCAAGCCAAGCCGTACCACCCTTTCAACTGTTTGCAGAAGATAACATAAAGAAAATGACCACTTGATTTTTAGCCTTTTGGGAAATTTCTTTCTTTCTCGTGGTGGAGAAAAGGAGTTTGCATTAGATTCCTTTTGGTCCGTGAAAAAGAAACTTTAATTCCATTTCCTTCAAGGAAACGAGGGACGGATGGGTCTACACTCTCTCCCAATTCACATAGCTTTCGTATCTTTGGCTTTTTGCATCAAATTATCTGCTATTCAAGGCATTTAACACCCTCCCCTTCTATATTATAATTTTGCATTATGCACTCAAAGCATCCATGGCCTTAACTAATATATGTCCCAAGCCAGGCCACCAGCTTATCAGAACTTGCATCATTGGACGAAGAAAGCCATGCAAGGATGCGCAACTCATTATCCGGTCTGTTAACTATTTTTACGGACTGTGACAGACAAAGGACATTCATTAATGGCTTCATTCAGCCGTTAATGCAACTGAGAGTTTGTTAGGCTAATGCATCTAACTCCACTAATAAAAAACCTCCACCCAGTTACTTACAAACCATCAGTCAATCAAATTGATGTTTCATTAATTTTGCCTCTCGCTCTAGGAGTTGCCCCCGTGGTTATGTCGCAAGCTCTCTCCTTTCATTCGTTGGTTCCTTGCATTTTAGTGTTGATCCAGGTAGAAACTTGGCTGCTTAAGTAGATACCAGGAAAGTTTCCTGCCGGTTGTTGATTCTGTTGTCTTAAAATAAAGTGCTCTAAGAGGAGCACAATCAGGTTGACTTGGGGTGCCAGAACAATTTCTGTTTCTGTTTTTTTTAAAATATTTTTTTCTTTAAAAATAATTATTTTTTAAATATTTTTATTATAATTTTAATATGTTAATATATAAAAAAATTATTTTAATATATTTACAAGTAAAACCTATTTAAAAAATATCATCCATCCTGATCCTAGCACCTTTAATAAAGAATGCATAGAAATATAGTACCTTCGACTTCCAATTACCAAGTGTAAAATATGTTTCATTTAAAAAAATTAAATTAATATTTTTTTTTAATTTTAATACAATAATGTTAAAAAATAAAAATAATTAATTTAATATATTTTAAATAAAAAATATTTTACATGTATATGTTTTTCTATATATGATGCAACCTTGATTGATTTTGCAGTACAAGCAAATCATATCCTTTGATTGGATAGCTCAAGGAATGATCCAATGGCTGTCAATTTATTGTAAGAGCTGGAGCTCCAATGGCTGTCAATTGTCGGTGTTACATGCCGACTGATATTTTCCATTAGAGCAGCGATTCCTTTCACAAGCTATTCTAATTTAATTTTTTTTTATTTTTTATAAATTATTTTTAACATTAATTCATCAAAAATAAATAAATTTATTTTAAAAAAAAAAAAAAAAACACAGTTTCTCAGCCGTGTTTCCAAAAAGTGTTCCAAAAAGAGGACAAAGATTGACGATAGCAATCCAACAAATTGGACTGCACAGAAATCACTCAGTCTCTACTTCGAACCAAAAAAAAGAAACAGTAGCCAATCCAAATTTCACTGTAATAATCCCCCTTGCTATCTGCTCCAATCTTGTTACTGACCTCGATCACTTCGAAGCACTGCCGGCTCACCAAACCGACCCTCAAATATTAAAACCAGGCCTGTAAATATTGTGCATGCCATTCAACCTATTAAGTGGCGTTTTATCAACCTTTTTTTTTATTATTACTATGAATGTTTGCATTATTTTATATCGACTAGTTTTATAAATTATAAAATTAATAATTATATAAGTTTCTAATAACTTTAACATTTATGAAATTTAAACTAATAATTTATAAAAAATAAATTTAAAATCTAACGACTTAAGTTAAATTCTTCGTAACTAACTTTCTATTGGGGTTAATGAATGACCTTTATTTTATATTAACATGGATACATGGATTAATTAGTGTGTATTTTAATTAATTAAATGAATTTTAAAGTTAATAATTATGTAAATTTTTAATAACCTTAACATTTATAAAATTCAAATTAATAATTTTAAAAAAATAAAAATCTAACCAATTAAATTACATCTAAATTTCTAAATTGAATTCCCAAACCGATTCATATGTGTCAATCAAGATTAAATTCCGTTCTGAAATACATGAAGAAAGCATCATCTACGTAAAGACTTCTTTTCTATGAAAGCAACTTAAATGAATTCTCTATCAATCAGTTTGACCTCTTCCATGTATGGACAGGAGGAGGCTTCGCTACTGTAGAAAGATGCTTTCAAGTACAGTAAGAAAAGATTTACCGGTTTACCTGATAAAATACTCGAAAACTGGGCCATGTTGCACATGGTTGGCTTCGTGTTCTCCGAGGACATGCTCGTGAAAGCAATTCCATGGCCCATCCAGTCACTTCTTGTTTTTGTTTTACTTCTCGTCACCTGTCACCAACATTGGATCACGAGATATGGTTTTCCTACAATTATTTAAGGGTCATCTGATCACACAGACAAGATCATGTGACGCTGCATCTTCGATGTGCACCAAAGAGTCAAACCAGCTGATAATGATATATGCTAGATTGCAAGCACAAAACAGCAAAGATCTCAAGTTAGTAATCTACCAAATCATTCGAAACTCGATGGATTCAAAGACAGGAGACAAGCCATGTCATCTGGGATCTTTAGTTAAGTGTGTGAGCTCCACTAACATTTAACCTTAAAACTAAAAACAGGGATTGGATTGTAAGATCATCACGGAGAGTTGTCATGGACCAACAAAACGAAGGGTAAAACAACAGTATGAAAACCAAAACTTGCAACTCAAATCACGCAGAGGGGAAATTGAATTATTATCTTCAATCCACTGCCATATGATCCTCTATTACAGGAAAAATCAGCACTGGTCATTAGCATGTTACGTGTTCATGGGAAATCTTGCAAACATTTTTGGTTAGGGTATTCTCAACAAGGCCAAAAGGACCGAAATAGTGCTAAGAATCGGTGAATTCAGAATATAAAATCTAACTGACAAGTACTCTTCTCATCAACCAACCATCACAAGTTACTAGAAAGAATAAACCATGGGCATTATAGAACTAAAACCAGAGGTGCGTTGAATATCAAACTTCAGAACTCAGAGTAGAGTACGCCATCAATGGTAGTAATACAACCCCTTTGGCTTTCATCATCCACCATTGTCGTTCTGCATTAACCCCCACGCAAGGGGTTGCCCCAAATTACCTCAATTACTTATTAAACTTGAAGTAAATACCTTCTACATTTGAACTATAATGCTCTGATTAGGGTGCCGAAACATTCACAACATGTTTTTGGATGGAAGCCATGGGAGGGCCTATTGATAGTTTTTTGAAAGAAGATAGTCAACGAAAGCAAAAAACCACGAGGTGTGTCTTTTTCAAGGTAAGTTACAGCGCAGGGAGTGCCCACAGGACTGATTCCAAGAACATAATATAACATTTCTTTTATTTGAATACCATGGATTATTTTTTGATAAAAAAAAAAGACTCGTCCATTCAAGTTTCCGTCCTTCTGTTAGCTTTTTTGATACATGTTATGTTTCTAGGCTATCATTTTACGGTTAGAATTAACAGAAAAGCTATTTTTTTTACCAAAAAAGATTAGTTTGAGGTATTTATATAAAAAAAATTAAAGGTAAGAGCTAAGTTCAATTCGACCCGTTCAGGATAATTTTGGGTAATTTAACCTTTTGAACTTGTCTACAAATCCTGGGACTTATTGATTTATATGATTCATTATCAGGAAAATGCCCTCGCAGTCGGGATCCAAACCTTGATTTGATTAACATTCCGGAATGATTACAAAATCCAATTGTAGACATTTCAAGTGCAAAAACATGAACTAAATCTACCAAACATCAGTTTTTTCTTTAATGAACAAAAGAGCCAAAAAAAAAAAAGCTATCAGTAATGGCATCCTAAATTGACCAAAAACAGCACCAACATGCTAAAATGTCAAGTATAAGTACACCACATTCTATGGGAGAAAAATAAGTTTATGAAGAAAAGAGTCGAAGATGTTCACCATGGATTAGGGGAGCCTATGCCATGCATTTATAGTTTTTTCATGAAATCTTCAATTTTCTCAGCAGTATCATACATATTCTTCAGTTCGACCTCCTCCAAAAGCAAATGACATGTTTGATATTTTGGTTATATATTTTTACCGATCATTTCCTCGAACAGATGGCAAGCCCACTCGCATTTGTTTGCTCTGCAAAGGCCATGAATTAAAAGAGCATAGACTGATCTATCAAGACTTAGCTGATGCTATTTCACCATGTCATCCATTAACTGAATCAACAAATTCATGTCTCCAATTCTAAAGCATGCCTTGAGCAATGAGTAGAACGTCTGACCATCAAGCTTGCAAGGTGCCAACGTTTCCATCTCCTCGAAAAGAGCAAGGGCCTTTGATACTTGACCATCATGACAGAGCATAACAATCATGGAGTTATAGGTGGATGTCATATCAGGTTTACATTCAGCTGACTTCATCCTCTGAGCTAGTTGTAAAGCCTCCTCAAAATTTTCTACCGTAACAGCATTTGGTGGGCACCCTTGTGCTTCAATTTCATCAAGGAGCTCATAAACCTTATAAAAGTTGTATTGGCGGCAATAGAATCAGATGATGGTGGAGTAACTGATTAGACAAGGGTGACAAGCATTCCCTTTTTCTCTTGGAGAGTCCAGAGTGCTTCGTCAACCCGATTGGCTTTACACCAACCATGAATAAAAATGTTAAATGTGTAAGCATTAGGCAAAATGTGTGATTTAAGCTCCAAGAAGATAGCGCGGGCCTGCTCAACATAGCCCTCTTTGTAAAGGGTGTCAAGCAACAGGTCCGTAGACTCTGTGTTCTTCTCCAACCTGAAAGTTCCCAACTCATCAAACATCCTCACAGCATCTTCCCATTCTCTTGCCCCAGAAAACCTTTTAATGGCCTTACCCACAGTGTTGAGTGTAACTTGATGATTTCGATTCATTTCCTCTAATAGCCCTCATTTGTTTCATTTTCCCCAGATTGTCCATCATCATATCATACGCCTTGGGTCTATGTTTATAGCCAGAGCGTAATCTAGCCCATCTAAAAATACCCAATGCAGATTTCCAATCATCCTTAAAGCGGAAAAGCAATTTGTCAACAAGGGTATCAGAAACCTCGATGTTATTACACACGTTATCGTGCGCCAAAGACAGAAGAATCTCATCAGGACTGCTTCCCGCACGAACTTTAGCAGCGACTAAGTTAACACTCGAATGATTTCTAGGGTCTAGACACTTTTCTTGGTGATAAAATGTAGTGCTTGTAAACAGGGAAGATGATTGTGGAGAAGAAACACAAGAAGAAAGACTAAAAAAATGACGGGCGTTTCTGAGACAGCTTCTTAGTATCGGCACCATTTTCATTTGTCTTGATTTTTTAATAAAATTCCGACAACTATAAACAATTAGAATAAAATAGATACCTGAAAAATTGAAGAGCTGAACCGCCAGTAACACCAGAGCTAGCTTCTGTGGAGAAACTCCGGCGCTTCTTTGTGGCGTTGGACTATGATGGTATTAGGCTGCAATAACCGGCGAGCAAGAGCTTGGGCTTATTATGATATAGGGAAAACACCCTCCAGCACCGAAACCACCTCCTTTCCGAGTAAGGATGGGCTGAATGGAGCCTTATTATGATTTGGGTTGGGTTCGGTCTGCCCCATGGTCACTATGAGTGGTCGATTTTCTTCATTTTTTTTTTTAATATGAAAACGTCAATTAATATTTCAAAAATAACCACTTTATCACTGTTGTTAGAGACAAATTCGGAGGACAATAGCTTAATTTGTTCTTTTATCCTTTCCCTTATATTTATAAGATTACTAGTTGAAATTTGTATTATAGAATTTAAAACCTGGTTAGATTAACTTAAAAAATTATATTGTTATTATAGAACTGATTAGATAAATCAATGACTCAAACCCTAAATCAAGTTGAATCTTGAGTCTAATATAATAATTATAATTTTAAATTATAAAATAAATTTTAATTGGAATTGAAACAATGAATAAAAAAAATAATTTTGATAAAGATAAATTTTGATCATTCAAAGAATTATATAAAGAGTTTTTTCTTATAAACATATTTTAGTTTCTAAGCCAAACATGCCTAGTTTCTGTGTACAGGCTTCCCACGTGGACTAAATACTTTTTATATTTTTACATGTTATTTTAATTATTAATTAATTATTTATAAATTTTTTTCTTATAAAAAAAAACAAGGATAGGTTATTTTTAATATAATTATATCCTTTAGATTAAATACATATTTACAATAATGCTTCTATAACTCAAAAATCATAAGAATCTATTGGATAAACTTTAGACTTTTTTTAAAAAAAAGAAGAAGAAGAAGAAATCAACATGTTTGAGAAGTTTTTATTCCAAGATATTAAATAAAATAAAATAAATAAAATAAAATTTCATAAAAATGGATAAGAAAATAAATTGATTAAATAACAATTTTCATAAGGAATCACAAACTAAAGGAATTGAAGTAAAATCTAAAATCTATTTGGTCTAAAATCCGACAATAAATCATAAATATTTCTTTCTCGTAATGTTGGGTGGACAAATAAATGATTAGTCTCATAAATTTAGTACAAAAGTCCTCTTCAGCATCTTGCTGGAGCCTCTCTGTTCATGATCCAAGCATTTTCATGCCATCATCAAAGTAAGAAAGCAAACCAGCAGAGGAAAGGAGAGTGCGAGAAAAACAAATGCGAAACAAGAAAACAAACCATCTGATGCTCGTATTTTAACAGCTTTGGTATGGCTTTGAAAGCCCTTGCTTAATATCCAGAACCAATATCAGAAGACTCAGACTCAGACACAGACTCGATTCTTATTTTATTTTTCAAACATTCGAGACATAATCTATAACCTTGTACTCATGAACCACATTACAGAAAAAAGAGCCTCAAATCCTCATTCTTGCTTCAGCTTCAAGCTTGAGTCTTGGCCATGTGAGCGATCAAGTCAATCACACGTGAACTGCGAGAATGGAAATCATGTATCAGTTGCTGCAAATCCTTCAAGCCCTTTGGAGGAGACAATTCCAAAGGGAGCATGAATGCTAAATCGGGAAAGGAAGAAAGAGATGTACCTGTAGCCCCATTCGTTGTCATTCCAAGACACAATTTTGACGAAGTTATCGTTCAGAGCAATTCCGGCCTTGGCATCAAATATGCTTGACCTGCAGCGTGAAACACGACCATTGGAGCCAATATAAAGAAAGATATCATGTGTTCTGGGCAGCACAATCCATGTAGTCTACCAAGACAACATCACAGTCGTTTCCTTTACCTGCTATCACCAATGAAGTCTGTAGACACCACATCATCTTCAATGTAACCCAAGATACCCTTAAGGTTAGTCTCAGACTCCTCCCTGAAGATCATCAAAGTAAACGAATAAAATCAGAATATAAATAAGCTTAAAGATTTTGACTAGAAGATCATTCAAACAAGCGCCTTACTTGATAGCAGATTTGATATCCTCATATGTTGCCTTCTTCTCAAGCCTGACAGTGAGGTCAACAACAGAGACATCAGCAGTGGGAACGCGGAAGGACATTCCAGTCAATTTCCCATCAAGTGCTGGCAGAACCTTTCCAACAGCCTGTGGGATAGACAAAGCACGAAGCAGAATCAGGGCCGTCAGTGCATTGATTCCGCAATAAACTATAAGCGAACAATGATCTCCCCCCAAAAAAATCCTTACCTTGGCAGCTCCAGTGCTGCTGGGAATGATATTAAAGGAAGCAGCCCTTCCACCTCTCCAGTCCTTCTTTGATGGACCATCAACAGTTTTCTGGGTGGCTGAATTATATGGATATAGAGCATCAGAGTGATAATATTTTCAAACCCAAATGCCAAACCAACAAGATAAATCAGGATATATAATATAACATGTAGAGAAGCTCACCAGTAATCGCGTGAACTGTCGACATGAGACCCTCAACGATTCCAAACCTCTCATGGATAACCTGTAAATCATGGGGCAAAGATGATGATTGTTAAATAAGTAGCCCATTACCTATGGCTAGTTACAAATAAATGAACTCGTCGAGATAGATAAATACCTTGGCCAAGGTGGCAAGGCAGTTGGTAGTGCAGCTAGCATTGGAGACAATATCAAGATCCGGTGTGTACTGCTTCTCATTGACACCCACAACAAACATGGGCGCATCCTTGCTGACGGCGGTGATAACAACCTTCTTGGCACCTCCCTGAACCAACAGATTTTGTTTAAGGTAAAAAACATAGATTCTAATTCAAAACATTCTGGATTTTTCTGTATTAAATTAAAGCAAAAAAAGAGGAAAGGGGAAGACAAGAAACCTTCAAGCGAGCAGCAGCCTTGCCCTTGTCAGTGAAAGCTCCAGTGGACTCAACAACAAACTAAGCACCAGCTTGAGCCCATGGGATCTCCTCTGGGTTTCTACCAATCAGAAATAGGAGTAAACATTAAAAAAAAATCAAATCAAATCAAATCCCATAAAAAAAATAAAAGAAACAGCAAGATAAATAAATTTTACTATTAATATTTACAGTAGTACTTTTATTTTTACCTGACACCAAAAACAGTGACTGCCTTCTCACCAAAGAGAAGGGTCTTCTCGTCCTTCATCTTGAGTTCACTGTGCTTCCAGTGGCCATGAACTGTATCATACTTGAACATGTATGTCTACGACACAAAGAAAAACAAAACATTTTATTAACAAATAAAAAATAAATAAAAAACGAGAATCAGGGATTTTTCTCTCTATGTTTATTTTTGTGTTCAAATTATATTTTTAAATTTTTAATTAATTTTTTAATATGCTAATATTAAAAATAAATTTAAAAAATAAATAATATATTATTTTAATATATTTTTAAATAAAAAATATTTTAAAATACTATGTCACTTGCCTATTCAATATCAAAGTTTATTTAAGTATATGTTTGACATTATGTGTAATATTTTTTAAAAATAAATTTAAATAATTTTTTTATTTTTAATATTTATATATTAAAATTATTGAAAAACAGTACTAGAAATATTTTAATATTTTTTAAATCAGCGCACTTTTAAAACAATCTCAAATAAAATTTTAAATATGAATCATACTCATAGTAATAGTAGAAGGTGTTAAAGAGTTTGAAAAAATAGTTTCTTGAAAATAGATTTTGAAAAATAATAATTTATAGTATTTGAAAAACATAATATTAAAAATTATATATAATTATTTGGAGGATGTTAGGTAGTGTAATAGAGGTTATTTTTAAAAATATTTTTTATTTTAAAATATTTTAAAATAATATTTTTTATATTAAGTTATCAAAATGATAAAAAAAAATAAAAAAAATAATTTTCAGAAAATCAATTTTAAAAAAAATATTATTTGAAACACAATTCAAAATTACCCTTAAAAGAAAACACATTTACATAAATATATATATATATATATATATATATATATATATAAGACTATAATTCTCACCGGCTGTTTCTAGCGATTTTTCAAAAACTTTTAGGTGGTAACTGTGGATTTTTTACTGTACTTTCTTTTTTAAAAAGAAATTTCTTCGTTAGTGCTATTTCATTAATTTTTCTTTTAAATTATGCTAGTTTTTTTTATTTTATTTTAAAAAAAGAACCCGTAAAACAACGGCAAAAATAAGATTTTACCATGTAGTCAGTAGTGATAAAAGGATCATTAATAGCGACAAGTTCCACGTCATCTCTTTGAAGAGCAACTCTAGCAACCAAACGACCGATCCTTCCAAATCCTATGAACATTTTATTTTATTTAACGTTAATAAATGAATGTTTTGTTCCTTTTACCGGAAATTAAAAAAAAAAAACATGTTTGAGATCGGGAAAATTACCGTTGATACCGATCTTAAGACCCGGTTTCCGGTTTTTTTTTTTTAAATTTTTTTTTTCGGTTTGATTACTTTTTTTGATAAAAACCGAATCGAACCGAAAATAAACACCCCTAATTCTTGCAACCAGACGACCGATCCTTCCAAATCCTATGCACATTTTATTTTATTTAATGTTTTATAAACCAATGTATGTTAAAAAGAAATCAAAAGATGTCAGAAAGATTAAGAAAAATACCGTTGATACCGATCTTAATCTTCTTATCGGATGCTGTTGTGTTCAAGAAAAAGAGAAATCAAATCCAGAGAAAATTAAAATTAAAATTAAAACAACACGAGAAAATCAAACGAGAAATTGCGGTGTGAAGAGGGCGGCGTTCTTACCCATTGTTGTTAGTCGAAACGGAAAACAGATGAGAGATTTTACAAGAAACTGAGCTTTAAAGGTTCATGAGAGAGTTGCGTTTACGTTACGTTAACGGTTTCTTCTTCTTCCTTCTCTGAATTTCAACTTATTTTTTTATTAAAAATTGATTTTTTGAATTGTTTTAATAGGTTAATATTAAAAATAAATTTTAAAAATTAAAAAATTATATTATTTTAACACTTCTCTGCACTTTCGAAAACAATAACGAACACCTCCTCCTCTCTCTGTCGTGGGCGACACGAAAGTAACTTCACGCGATTTGAGCTGTCTGGAGTTAGTTTTGAGTGGTTGGTTAACTATGAGAGACGTGGTTCTGGAGGGAGGTGTATTGCACACCTCTTGTTGAGAGTGGGAGTTTTAGTGTTCTAGAAGGGGGACTGTTCGGAGTGATGTCCGGCCGCTCAAAGATGGCGGCCCCCGATCAAAAGAGAGTTCTGGTCGAGGGCTAGCTGGAGCTCTCAGCTGCTTGCTGATATCAGCTTTCATGAGCCTCAGCTTGCGTGGTGACTGGGTAAACAAGGTGGAATTTACAACTCCCTCCTTCCATGGCACGAGTTTCCATGCTTTGCTACCGTTAATCTATTCGGAGAACAATCTCGGTGATTCGAAATAAATATTTGTTGACTATTTTTTACATCCAAAGAAAAATTACTTTTCTATCAACACGTGTTTGAAATGTCAGTAAAGATGGTTTGAGTATTTCTTATAAATAAACGTGGTCCAATATTTAATGATAAATAAGCAATAAAATAACAAATATCAAGTTCATGTAAATATTGAATTTTTATTACCATTTAATACACAATTTAATATAAAATAAGTAACTCCTATAAAAAAATATAAATTATTTAATAAGTAAATACAACAATGAATAATATTCCAAAATCTAAAGTGTTTAGAAATATATTTTTTAACGGTTATATTATGTGTTTATCACAGGTTTTAGCAAAATAATTTATTCTGTGTTGTTTAGGAACTTAAAGCTTTATATAGAGAGCCAGTAATCTACAAAGCAATCTCTTTTAGTAGGAGTTTGGAACCCCACATGATAAAATCATTAACCTTCAAATAAGTGGTTTCACAAAAAAATAAACATTTATTTTTTTTAAGCAATCTCTTTTAGTAGGGGTTTGGAACCCCACATGATAAAATCATTAACCTTCAAATAAGTGGTTTCACAAAAAAAATAAATTTATTTTTAAAAAAAAAGTGTTTATTTTTAATTTTAATATAGTAAACACTATGAAATTAAAATATATATTTTTATTGAGAATAAAAATTATAAATTTTTTATTTATATGATTTTAGGGATATTTATACTTTTAAACCATAAGCAAAAGATATTTATTGAGAGTTTAAGAAATATTTATATCCTTATAACACTTATTGAAATAAATATTCATGACATTAACATTAACATCACTTATTGAAATAAATATTCATGACATTACCATTAATATAAGATAAGATATCCTTTATATTAATTTTAATAGGGATTAAGATATTCATAACATTAACATTAATGAAGAATGAGTGACAAATATTCATGACATTAGTATTTTATATTAAAAATTAATAAAAATAAGCAAATAGAGCTAATTTGACTACTACGAGGCCTATAATAATCTTTAGGTCTTTATCCCATGCTTGGCACAACGCTAAGCCCTGGAATAATGAATATAGCAGCGAGTCAAATCCTTACTCATTTAAGCTTGACACATAACCTAATCCAAAAACATTAGATCTAATAGCACATAATATCTGTGTCCAACAAGGCTTAGCACCCGGCTAATCCTTAAGTCGATGCGTTAAGAAGGTTGATAAAGAATTTTATTTGATTGGATTTGATACATAACTAAATCTAAAAAAAATAAAATTATTAGATTTATATTATATATTTTACCATTTTGAATGTGAAATATTAACACAAGTCTTGATCACTATAAATAAGTTATAATCATGTATTTGAACCTTCTACTCAATAATTGAGGTTTAAAATTTATTTTTCATTACAAGATAAAATATTAATTTATGAGATCAGTAATTTAAGAAACACACTTTAAGCATAAACACGAGGCATATTTCTTGTCTTTGTCCACATTATAGAAATGATTGCAATAAGTTCAAATCAAATTTTTTTTCCCCTTCTTTATATATATTCAAAATGAATTCTCATAAATTTTTTTAAGAATGAAACGACAAGCTACCAATTTATCTAATAAAAAGAATTATTTCATTGTTCAATTATAAATTGATTGATTAAAAAAGTGATAAATTGTTTATTCTGATACCTAACGTCATGCAAGAAACAATATGCACTAATATTCCTTCTGATATATAAATAATTCTTCAGAATAAGAAAAATAGTTAGTACAGTTTTTTTTTTTGTTTGAAATTATGTTTCTTAAAAAAATTATTTATTTTAATTTTTTGAATTATTTTGATGTAAAAAATTATTTTTATAAAATAAAGAAATATTTTAATATATAACATGTAAATTAAAAAATTTGAAAGTGATAAGTTTGGCGTCGCCCGGACTTGAACCGGACACCTTCAGTGTGTTAGACTGACGTGATAACCAACTACACCACGACACCACTGTTGTTATCTCGGCGATACCATTAATATATTAATGTTTTAATTAAAGTATCATCCAGGTGTGAAAGCTAATCAAGAAGGCGCGGTGTTTTTGGTCAGCGCGGAATGAGTGGAGAAAATACGCGGGGAGACAGGAGACGGTGCATGTGGACTTGAAACGCCAGGCTATGAAGTGAAGGAAAAGAAAAGGCAAGTAATTTCTTTAATGGCAGGTGGGTTTTTGCTGATCAACGTTGACCTGTCGCTTTTCCTTTCCTCTCACCTCACGCACTTTATTCCATCTCTTGAATTTTAGGCCGTTTGTTTCCAATACAAAAATCTCTTAATATCACAAATAACTTCCATTTCAGACTTTCCTATTGTTGTTTTCTCTTTCTCTCAAAGCTTAACTATCTAGGAGAAGAGGGGTTCTCTTTTTGTCCTCTCCTGCGGTCATTCTAACATGGCTTCCTCAAGATGGATTAGGCCTGAGGTATGCTTTCCAACCGTAACATTGCAGTCGTGTTTCTATTTCTCTTTAATTAATTTTGATCATCAGAAATAATAAGTAAAAAGAAGACACTAAAACGTTCCATATGAAATGGAATCTCTTGCACTTGATTTTATTCATTACAGTTTTTAAGGTCTGAGGGTTTTTAGATAAAGATCCATTGATTTTCTTTTGATGAACATGTAATAGGTGTTTCCACTATTCGCATCTGTTGGCGTGGCAGTTGGGATTTGTGCGATGCAACTTGTGAGGAATATATGCACCAATCCTGAAGTGAGGTAATGCTGGTTGGATGTTGATGAATCTCAGGAATTATTGAGTGTGTGGTTTTGCTGATTATATTTTATATTGAAATGAATCGGTGGCTCAGGGTAACCAAAGAGAACAGGGCTGCAGGAGTGCTCGACAACTTTAAGGAGGGTGAGAAATATGCAGAACATGGTCTTCGGAAGTTTGTCCGAAACAAAACCCCCCAGATCATGCCATCTATCAACGGTTTCTTCTCAGACCCAGATCCTCCAACTAACTAAAACCGTTGGCATCTTTCACGTCCGAGATTTGGAGAAAGAAGAGCAACGAAAATATTTTTTGTTTCCTCTTCTTTTTACTACAGATTTTTGATTTGATACTTTTTTTATTATCATTAAAACATTATTGAATAATTAATATTGTTCATCTTCAAATTTCTTTTCTTCCGAATTTTAGCTTTATTCTTTCGTATACTTCCAGTTATTGTGCGATAATTGATTCTCGATTTCGATTACTGATTGTTAGTCCAGTACAAGATTTAACACTTGTTTCTACGGGGCTTGAACTCTTTTTCACCTGCTGAGAGCAAATTTGCCTAGCAGATCCAGAAAGATACTGGTGTGGTTGATGATAGCCACAGTATCAATTCGTTCTCTGCAGACATGTATTTGTCATAATCTCTCATTGTCTGAATAGTAGCAGTCATTATACATGCCTGAAAATTTTCTGCCCAGGTTGAAAACGATCACACGGAACTGGGGTATCCACAATGAGCTGATGTGCGTCGTCATTTCCTGGCAGCACCAGCAGTGTTGGTCTTTCCTTTCACACATCCATTTACATTGATTTTCACCCCTCTCTCCAGTGGATTGGTTCCAATCAAACAAAAATTTTAAGCTTTCCTGGCAATTGGGAGCCTACCATAAATGAAATTGATACACCAGCATGCTAAGAAGATTGCCGATGAGGATCGATATCCTCCACCTCCAAGTTTAATTACACCAAGTACTACTGAATCCCATTCTCATAGATTAAGAAGAAAAGTGGAAATTACAGATACAAATTTCTTGAAACAGAAATCATGCCATGATGAACAAGCCGGTGACTTTTGGTGTTGCTTCTCAGCATTGCATCCTCAATTACTTTCCGGAAAAAAATATGGCTCACAAATTATTTTTAGTTTACATCAATAGTATGTGCTTAGAGGACAGAGGTTTCCAGTTTATTCTTCTGCCTCTGCACTTGGGACATCACCGCTTCAAAGCCTGTGATGAATATATCTTTATTCATGCCTAGCATTCCAAACGCTCAGATGGCGCGCTTGAAAGTCCTGGATCATGATTGATTTGAGCAGCCACGGAAATGCCCTGTATGAGATGAGAGCAACAAATCAAACAAGGAAATAAATGGAAATTCAAAGATCAGCAGGTCTGCACTCAAATTGGAAGTGAAAGGACTGGGAATGTGCTTCAGTGATCTTCGAAACTTCTGTTAATTTCCGCTGCTGAAGCTTTCACCCTATCTTTTCGTTGAAAAATCCCTTCAAACTTCTGTTCGGAACAAGTGTCTTTTGTAGCTAGAGAGCAAGTATCTTTTCATCTTTAGGATTACATGATCTAATTTCTCATTATGGTAGAGGTTTCCGTGGTTCTTCAGACCTTTGCCCACCTCTCCAGCTAGAACTTCTCAGGGTTCGATTGCCATGTTAATTGATCGTATAGTATCCCCCAACGAAATATATGACCGGGCTCTAACCTGTGGTTGAGGGCAAAAGGACTGAGATGCTTAATCCCCACTGTTGTCGAGATAGATCCTTATGGTAGTTACTCTTGGATTGATCTCCTCAAGAATTCTACGACCAACTTCGAAAATGAAGAAGAGTTGTCCTTGAGCAACTTCACTGGGGAATCATACTGTACAACCTTGCCTGTATTAATCAAGAAATTGGCAGAGATATAGTCAAATGATTTAAGGAATATAAAAGAAGTACATGCCACATATTGATGATTCGCTATGCCACTTTATGTTCTCTGAATTCTAATGTTAATGATGGAGTTTGTGGAAATAGAGCATCTTGAGATTCTTATTTCCGTTTTTCCTTTTCATTCCAGACAGACAATGTAATCTTCTCTCAGCATGTAATATTTCGAGGTAAAAATCAAGAAAAGAATTGCTCTCGAGTTTTCAGATCCATGTGTTTCCCATATGATAGAATTAGTGGGGCATTAAACTGTAGACATGGTAGCAAACACCTTGAATTCTTGGAAGTGAGTTTAATCTATTGCTAGAGGCACAGGAATTTATAATGTTGGAAAAGTTTGCCTTACCATCTTCCAGAACCAAAATCAAGTCATTGTCAATAACAGTGGGTATTCGATGTGCCACAGTGATGACCGTGCATCTACTTGTTTCTTCTCGTATCGTGCCTTGAATGATATTATCTGTTTCTATATCAATGGAAGCTGTGGCTTCATCTAACACCAAAATTCTCCTTTTTTTTAGCAGCACCCTAGCCAGGCAAACAAGCTGCCTTTGTCCAACACTCCAGTTTTCTCCATCTTCAGAAACTGATCCATTCCCAGATTCCAGCATTCAATACCCAAGAAATTGAATATACAAAACTGAAAATGAAAGCAAAACGACTAAAAGGTTCGTTACATGAATGGAATATGTACCTGGTGCATCAAGAAGTCTTTTATCTCGTTTCACTATATCTGCAAGGCGGCATTTGTTGAGAACCTGTAAAGGCAGATTGGCTGAGTGAACAACGTATATTGAAATCCTATTTCAGTGAGAAAGAGTTTTGATTCTACCTCCCAGATTTCTTGATCTGAATGTTTCTCCAAAGGATCCAAATTAGTCCTTACAGTTCCATGAAACAATGTGGGATCCTGAGGAATTATACCAAGCCTAGACCTCAAGTCCTGCAAACCTATCTTGGAAATATCCAGTCCCTCAATAAGAATCTGTCCCCCTGAGGGCTCGATCACTCGAAAGAGGGCTTGAATCAGAGTAGACTTTCCGCTTCCTGTCCTGCCCACAACACCGACTTTCTTTCCTCCAGGGAAGGTGCAAGTTATCCCTTTGAGAACCTTTGGGAGAGAAGGATTATATTGAACATCAAGGCCTCTAAGTTCAACTCTTCCATCCGCTGGCCATTCAGGCTTCGGCCGACAATCTTCAATCACTAGAGGAGCTTCACTAGGTATGTTAGTGAATTGTAGAATTCTTTCAACTGAAATCATTTTGTTTTCAACGTTGCATAAGTTCCATATAACCCAAGCCTGAAGAACATTCAAGTTCAGACCATAGGTAGCTGCGAGCCCTGCCAAGCCTGAGATCCATTCAACCAACCATTAAACTAAAAGAATAAAATTGTTTACGTTTCAGCTTCTATGAAAGAACTGGAAATGAGTGAAAGTTGTAAATATGCTTCTAATGGTCTATATTTCCATGTTCCATCAACAATCAACCACAACTATGCTTAGGGATTATTACAACAGTGAGCAATTGATCACAAGCAATAGCATCGTCTTTGATTTGTTTTCTTGTTTTCACTTCTCAGTGAAAAATAAATATACTACAGATGGTTGATTCAAATATGTGCTGCTAGACAAATTTCATTATTCCATTTCTTCTCTTCTCTGAAGCTTCCTTAATATAATCTAGTAGGTGAAGTATCTGCCCTTCCATCATTCACGAGACAGGGCACTATTTGTGATATTCATTTACAAAGTTCCAAATATTCTTGGTTGCAAATTGGTGTGCATAGTTTCTCGTGATGTTGGATCACTAAAGATGTGGGATAAGAGGAGCTCACTGGGATCAATGGCTGACTTAGGAAGGTTGACCAAGATGATCAGAACAAGAAAGAACCCAAGGTTGAAGAGAAAGTTGATCCGAATGCACAGCCATTCCATGGTGCCTGAGTTGTGAAAGACAACGCGAGAATAATCATCAATTATGCTAAGGCTTCTCATCAGAAAGCGTTCTTCCTGATTGAAACAGCGAATTGTCGCTGCTCCTGTTATAGATTCTGAAAAGTGATGCAAGATAGGAGCCTTTCTGATTCCAACCATCCTGGCTAATTCTCTAGCAGTTTTAATGTAATAAGCCTGCAGAAAATTTTGATAAGCACCGCAATGTTTAGATATGAGTTGAATGGCATGAATCATCTAAGGTTTGGACTAAAAATATTCGTGCATTTTCTCGTTGGCTGGTGCGGCATAAATGATAAAGAACTGTTCTTGTATTTTAGTGAATTTTAGCTTTGGGAGATCACCCAACGAAGAAATTAATGCAAATTATATTTATGTTTCTCCACATGATACTGCCAAGCTGCCAAATGTCTCTTCATCAGGATGATATGGTTTAATGTAATGTAAAAATGATAAGAAGTTGAAGCAGAATTTTCGCTTTACCTGATACCAGATGGAGATTCCTAGTATGACAAGAAAGATAGGGAAGACCTGCCAAGCCACCTGAGACATAAGGATAACGATGCATAATAGCTGGATTAGGGCAAATGCCAATCCAGCCAATCTGTAGGGGATGTCTGTATCTACTGTGCTTTGATCTGTAGATGACTGCTAGGACAAACACACAAGAAAAATGTTTTTGTTTCTCGGAAGCATGTAAAGATGCTAGACAAAGCAAAGAGCATTGAACTTGGAATTTAAAAAAACTAACCCTGCTGAGGATCCTACTTGAAGGTGTGGCATCAAAGAATGAGATAGTAGCTCGAAAAATAGACGAGATCATCCCAAAGAAAAGACGCTGAGCAGTCTCAACAGCAATTGTTGCCAGCAAAACTGCTCTTCCCAATATAAAGATGGAGCTTCCACCAGACAACAAAATGAATATGCCAATCAGCTTCTCTCTGGTGACGTTGTGACTCTTCTCCGTCGCCCATGCAATCCAATAATTGCTTCCCATCTGTAGTCCCTGGAAAAGGACTTGACAAAGAAGGATGATTGGAACAAGGGCTCCTTTGTAAGCTGAAGTAATGAAGGTTGAGTAAACACTCCATTTCACTCTGCCAGTTTCAGATACTTCCTCTTGAGTTTTCTTCGAAAATCTATCAGTACTAGTTGGCCCTTTAACATTTTCTTCTGTAACTTCATTTTGATTTAACTGAGATGATCCACCTGTTAATGGGTTATCTTCTTGGGGTGGATTCACTTGGTTTAATGATCTTCTATGGGCAGCCATTTGTCTAACAAGTTCACCAGTGGGATCTGCAATCAAATCTTCATATTTTCCTGACTGGACAATCACACCATCTTTCGTCACCTATAAATACACATTTAAAAGTAATGGATAAAGGAGCTTGAGATGACTAAATTCTTGATATGTTTGAATATCTGATTGAAGTTTCGGGTTATGT